TCAAATGGACTTGCAAAAACGTACATGTAAAAAAATATGCGCAAAAGTAGATTCGCAACAACGTTCTTAAAAACACGAAATACAACACTAGGACTAAATATGCATAACCAAACAATAGCAAAAACAATAAATACAAAAGATACAGTGCAGTGTAGAAATAACACTCAACGTTTACGTTTACGTGGATTTTTTTATGGATTAATTTATATTTCTGTTTTAATTGGTGGATTTAGTATCTTATAGGTACAAATTGATAATTACGTGTGCATGAAGCAAAAATGATCAAAGAGTAAGAAAAGAGTTGCAATTAGGAAAATAAAATTCAAATTAGAAGAGAGGATCCCTCAACATCTTCGGTAGTGTCCACGAAGTCGAGCATAACTTTCTCATCTGGACTCCAAATCAAATGGTTCCGGCGGCATTAGAAATCTATTTTAGCTGGCTACAATTCCTGTCTAATGTCAAATTTCCGAATTTGGACTCGAAGATGGTCAAAATTGGATTCCAAAAGCAATCATGAAAATACGTGCTATAGTTCGAGGACACGAATGCGCATCATGAAACGTGCACAAAAACACTCGCTACAAAATATACGCACATAAGTAAAAGTACAAAGGCATGCACAAAAGTACTCACGGAAAAGTGCATTCGCAAAAAGGATCACGAAAGCCCAAACTACAATCCTAGGACATTAATACAAATCAACAAACATGCACAAACACACTCGCTCAAATGGACTTGCAAAAAAGTACATGTAAAAAAATATGCGCAAAAGTACATTCGCAACAACGTTCTTAAAAACACGAAATACAACACTAGCACTTTAATACGCATAACCAAACAATAGCAAAAACAATAAATACAAAAGATACAGTGGAGTGTAGAAATAACACTCAACGTTTACATTTACGTGGATTTTTTTATCGATTAATTTATATTTCTGTTTTAATTGGTGGATTTAGTATCTTATAGGTACAAATTGATAATTACGTGTCCTTGAAGAAAAAATGATCAAAGAGTAAGAAAAGAGTTGCAATTAGGAAAATAAAATCAAATTAGAAAAGAGGATCCCTCAACATCTTCGGTAGTGTCCACGAAGTCGAGCATAACTTTCTTATCCGGACTCCAAATCAACTGGTTCTGGTTGCATTAGAAAGCTATTTTAGCTGGCTACGATACCTGTCTAATGTCAAATTTCCGAATTCGGACTCGAACATGGTCAAAATTGGATTCCAAAACTGATCATGAAAATACGTGCTACAGTTCGAGGACACGAATGCGCATCAAGAAACGTGCACAAAAACACTCGCTAGAAAATATACGCACATAAGTAAAAGTACAAAAGCATGCACAAAAGTACTCACGGAAAAGTGCATTCGCAAAAAGGATCACGAAAGCACAAACTACAATCCTAGGACATTAATACAAATCAACAAACATGCACAAACACACTCGCTCAAATGGAATTGCAAAAACGTACATGTAAAAAAATATGCGCAAAAGTAGATTCGCAACAACGTTCTTAAAAACACGAAATACAACACTAGGACTAAATATGCATAACCAAACAATAGCAAAAACAATAAATACAGAAGATACAGTGGAGTGTAGAAATAACACTCAACGTTTACGTTTACGTGGATTTTTTTATGGATTAATTTATATTTCTGTTTTAATTGGTGGATTTAGTATCTTATAGGTACAAATTGATAATTACGTGTGCATGAAGCAAAAATGATCAAAGAGTAAGAAAAGAGTTGCAATTAGGAAAATAAAATTTAAATTAGAAGAGAGGATCCCTCAACATCTTCGGTAGTGTCCACGAAGTCGAGCATAACTTTCTCATTTGGACTCCAAATCAAATGGTTCCGGCGGCATTAGAAATCTATTTTAGCTGGCTACAATTCCTGTCTAATGTCAAATTTCCGAATTTGGACTCGAAGATGGTCAAAATTGGATTCCAAAAGCAATCATGAAAATACGTGCTACAGTTCGAGGACTCGAATGCGCATCATGAAACGTGCACAAAAACACTCGCTACAAAAAATATACGCACATAAGTAAAAGTACAAAAGCATGCACAAAAGTACTCACGGAAAAGTGCATTCGCAAAAAGGATCACGAAAGCACAAACTACAATCCTAGGACATTAATACAAATCAACAAACATGCACAAACACACTCGCTCAAATGGACTTGCAAAAACGTACATGTAAAAAAATATGCGCAAAAGTACATTCGCAACAACGTTCTTAAAAACACGAAATACAACACTAGGACTTGAATACGCATAACCAAACAATAGCAAAAACAATAAATACAAAAGATACAGTGGAGTGTAGAAATAACACTCAACGTTTACGTTTACATGGATTTTTTTATGGATTAATTTATATTTCTGTTTTAATTGGCGGATTTAGTATCTTATAGGTACAAATTGATAATTACGTGTCCTTGAAGAAAAAATGATCAAAGAGTAAGAAAAGAGTTGCAATTAGGAAAATAAAATCAAATTAGAAGAGAGGATCCCTCAACATCTTCGGTAGTGTCCACGAAGTCGAGCATAACTTTCTTATCCGGACTCCAAATCAACTGGTTCTGGCGGCATTAGAAAGCTATTTTAGCTGGCTACAATACCTGTCTAATGTCAAATTTTCGAATTCGGACTCGAACATGGTCAAAATTGGATTCCAAAAGTGATCATGAAAATACGTGCTACAGTTCGAGGACACGAATGCGCATCAAGAAACGTGCACAAAAACACTCGCTAGAAAATATACGCACATAAGTAAAAGTACAAAAGCATGCACAAAAGTACTCACGGAAAAGTGCATTCGCAAAAAGGATCACGAAAGCACAAACTACAATCCTAGGACATTAATACAAATCAACAAACATGCACAAACACACTCGCTCAAATGGACTTGCAAAAACGTACATGTAAAAAAATATGCGCAAAAGTAGATTCGCAACAACGTTCTTAAAAACACGAAATACAACACTAGGACTAAATATGCATAACCAAACAATAGCAAAAACAATAAATACCGAAGATACCGTGGAGTGTAGAAATAACACTCAACGTTTACGTTTACGTGGATTTCTTCACAGAGCGTTAATTTCTACTCGGTTAATTGGTGGATTTCGTATCTTATAGGTACAAATTGATAATTACCTCCTATTCCGAGCGCAAGTGGAAAGAGTAAGAAAAGAGTTGCAATTAGGAAAATAAAATTCAAATTAGAAGAGAGGATCCCTCAACATCTTCGGTAGTGTCCACGAAGTCGAGCATAACTTTCTCATCCGGACTCCAAATCAACTGGTTCAGGCGGCATTAGAAATCTATTTTAGCTGGCTACAATTCCTGTCTAATGTCAAATTTCTGAATTCGGACTCGAAGATGGTCAAAATTGGATTCCAAAAGCAATCATGAAAATACGTGCTACAGTTCGAGGACACGAATGCGCATCTAGAAACGTGCACAAAAACACTCGCTACAAAATATACGCACATAAGTAAAAGTACAAAAACATGCACAAAAGTACTCACGGAAAAGTGCATTCGCAAAAAGGATCACGAAAGCACAAACTACAATCCTAGGAAATTAATACAAATCAAAACACATGCACAAAAGTACATTCGCAACAACGTTCTTAAAAACACGAAATACAACACTAGGACTTTAATACGCATAACCAAACAATAGCAAAAACAATAAATACAAAAGATACAGTGGAGTGTAGAAATAACACTCCACGTTTACGTTTACTTGGATTTTTTTATGGATTAATTTCTATTTCTGTTTTAATTGGTGGATTTAGTATCTTATAGGTACAAATTGATAATTACGTGTCCTTGAAGAAAAAATGATCAAAGAGTAAGAAAAGAGTTGCAATTAGGAAAATAAAATCAAATTAGAAGAGAGGATCCCTCAACATCTTCGGTAGTGTCCACGAAGTCGAGCATAACTTTCTCATCCGGACTCCAAATCAACTTGTTCCGGCGGCATTAGAAATCTATTTTAGATGGCTACAATTCTTGTATAATGTTGAATTTCCAAATTCGAGCTCGAACATGGTCAATATTGGATTCCAAAAGCGATCATGAAAATACGTGCTACAGTTCGAGGACACGAATGCGCATCAAGAAACGTGCACAAAAACACTCGCTACAAAATATACGCACATAAGTAAAAGTACAAAAGCATGCACAAAAGTACTCACGCAAAAGTGCATTCGCAAAAAGGATCACGAACACACAAACTACAATCCTAGGACATTAATACAAATTAACAAACATGCACAAACACACTCGCTCAAATGGACTTGCAAAAACGTACATGTAAAAAAATATGCGCGAAAGTACATTCGCAACAACGTTCTTAAAAACACGAAATACAACACTAGGACTTTAATATGCATAACCAAACAATAGCAAAAACACTAAATACAAAAGATACAGTGGAGTGTAGAAATAACACTCAACATTTACGTTTACGTGGATTTTTTTATGGATTAATTTATATTTCTGTTTTAATTAGTGGATTTAGTATCTTATAGGTACAAATTGATAATTAGGTGTCCATGCAGCAAAAATGATCAAAGAGTGAGAAAAGAGTTGCAATTAGGAAAATAAAATCGAATTAGAAGAGAGGATCCCTCAACATCTTCGCTAGTGTCCAAGAAGTCGAGCATAACTTTCTCATCTGGACTCCAAATCAACTAGTTCCGGCGGCATTAGAAAGCTATTTTAGATGGCTACAATTGTTGTCTAACGTATGCGAGCTTCACTGCTACCACCATGGTTCTTATTCCAAAGGTGGACTTTCTGACGGCTTGGACAGATTTCCGCCCGATTAGCTTGTGCAAAGTGACCAATAAAATTATCACCAAGTTACTTAAGAACAAACTGGCACCTCATTTGCCCCACATTATTTCTCCTTCAAGAGTGGGTTTGTTCAGGGTCGTCTCATTAGTCATAATATTTTATTAGCACAAGAGATGGTCCACTCGATATCAGTTCGTTGTCGAAATCCGAATCTTATTTTGAAGCTGGATATGGCAAAGGCTTATGATAGGGTTCAATGGCGGTTCTTATTTCGTGTACTTGAGCTGATGGGTTTCTCGGCGAACTTGGTTGATATTATTCGGCGATGTGTTTCCTCGTGCCAGTTCTCTTTACTAATCAACAGGGAGCTGACGGGGTATTTCACTTCGTCTCGTGGTCTAAGGCAGGGAGATCCGCTCTCGCCGACTCTTTTTGTACTTGCGGCTGAGTATTTTTTGAGAGGTCTCGATGCACTATAAAACCTTTGCCCAAGCATGTTTTATTCTACAAGGGGAGGCATCCATATATCCCATTTGGCCTATGCGGATGATGTGTTGATATTTACCTCGTGCCATAATTTTGGCCTGAAAAAGCTGCGGGATTTTCTCGATCATTACTGTCGGACTTCGGGGCAGTTGATTAGTGTGCACAAGAGCACTTTCACAGTTGATAGGGCATGTTATGATGGTCATCTTCGCACTATTTCTCGGATTCTCAGTTATCCGAGAAAGGATCTTCCTATCATTTATCTTGGAGCTCCACTATACAAAGGGAGGGACCGGGGCAGTTTGTTTAACACTTTGCTTGATCGCATGCAAGCCAGGATTTCGGGTTGGGCTCGAACCGCTTTGGCTTTCGGGGGCCGTCTGGCCTTGATCTGGAGTACGCTTTCGACTATTGCTTTGCATCTTGTTCAGGTTATTCAACCTCCGCAGTACATTATTAAGCAGATTGAGCAGTGCATGGCCAGATTTCTCTGGGGATCTTATGGTAATCAGCGCAGGCCTCATTGGGTTGCTTGGGAGACAATTTGTCGTCCAGTTGGTAAGGGTGGCTTGGGGTTGAAGCGTTTGACGGATGTGATTGACGCCTTCACTTACAAGCTCTAGTTCCGATTCCGTGCTAAGGATTCTCTTTGGGCCCGTTTTCTCTAAAACAAGTATTGTCGGAATCGGTTCCCAGGTTCATCCGTTGTGTCTTCACTCTATAGCACGGTGTGGAAGCGCATGTGCCGTGTCCGAGAGCGTGTCCAAGCTCAAATATTTTGGCAGATTGGTCCATGTCATGTTTATTTCTGGCACGACCACTAGTTTGGCGATGGTCCCCTTTCGGGAATTATTGATGGTGGTCGGCTAATGTCAGTTCGTGTGGAGTATTATTTGGTTAACGGTCAGTGGGATCGAAACAAGCTAGCTGAGGATATTCCTTTTAAGTGGATTGATAGGATTTGCTCGGTCCCAATCTCTGGTGCTTGGGGTGATTTGCCCATTTGGAGAGCTTCTTCGGATGGCAAGTTTTCCTTGACCTCGGCTTGGGCCTTGATACGACAGCAGCATACCCCTACCCCTCTTCTTCGTATATTTTGGGGATCTTGTCTTACTCCTACAATTTCTATCTTTCTTTGGCGTCTCCTTCTTCAGCGTCTTCCAGTGGATACCACCAAACTTTAGTCTCGAGGCACCTCTCTTGCCTCGAGGTGTTATTGTTGTCCAGATCCATCTTTTCCTGTGTCGAGTCTTGTATCCCAATCTGTCGAGTCTCCTTCTGTTGAGTCGATTGATCATATCTTCGTGGAGAGCCCGACGGCTAAGAGGGTATGGCATCATTTTTTCTATCTTTTTGGCTATACACCTGCACACACTGCGCACATACCCCATATTTTACTTTATTGGCATCACTTCACTTCGCACACACTCACACACCACACATACATCACGACCATTGTGCCTTGCTTGATCTTGTGGTACTTATGGATTGCAAGAAATGACAGCAAGCACAAGGATATCACAGTTCGCGCTTCTTCCATCATTTACAGGGTCATCCAGCACATCAGGATTCTTCAACAAACCAACTTACTTTCGGCAGACAGCTGGACTGGCATTCCCCACGTGGCTGAGTCTCTTGGCCTATATTACAGAGTCAGAACACCAACTCTCACACCTCATCGAGTTGTTTGGCTTCAACCGGATCCGGGTTGGGTGATGTTAAACACAGACGGAGCGCGTAGAGCATCCACCCAGATTGCAGCTATTTGCGGGATTATCAGAGGTTCGGACGCTGAGGCCATACTTGCATTTCACGAGAGGATCTCTGCCCCGAGCAGTATTGCATCCGAGCTTGCTGCCCTTGCCTCGGGGCTGCGATTTGTTATTCAGAGGCAATTCACTAGAGTTTGGATCGAGCTTGACGCAGAAGTCGCTGTTCCACTTCTTTCGCACACGGACCAAGGTCATTAGAGTCTTCAGAGTTCTCTCACGGCGATCCGGAACTCTCTTTCTACTTTGGAGTACAGGATTACACATATCTACCGGGAGGGCAAAACAGTAGCTGATGCATTAGCTAACTTGGGGTGTCAGACCGAGTTGGCTCGTACCTTCACAACAGTGGAGCTTCCCCGACCTATGCAGCAGATGATTCGGATGGACCAGCTTGGATATCCATCCTTTCGACGACGGTCTCGCACATAGGTGCCATGCATTCCACGTTTTTATATTATTGGCAATTTAGGAATTTTCGTGAACTTTACATGTTAGGAAGGGTTGGGGTGATTATGGATTGTTTGGGTCGATCAAGACTAGACTGTTTGCCGAATGGTGCCACATATTTCGCAGCCGTTATACCTGTTTCGCTCATTTTTGGCGAAAGAGTAAGTGGCCTCGGCTGTTGTGGTGAGGCGAACGGTCTACCTTGGCCTTCCCCGACCTTCTACAATCATTCCCACCCCGTCCTTTTTTATTATTTGGGCCACCTATTTTGCCCGTATTCTTAACGTTTTGTTAGTTAGCTATTGTCTTTTGTTTGTCAATTGCTATTATTAGCCATATGTTGGGGCAGTAGCACTTTGAGCGAAACTCATTATGTACTTCTAAAATTTTGTTTTATAAACAGGTAGGGGGTCAAGCCTAACCCCCCACCCTCATCGGGTGTCGTTCTCATAAAAAAAAAAAAAAATTCTTGTCTAATGTCATATTTCCAAATTTGGACTCGAACATGGTCAAAATTGGATTCCAAAAGCAATCATGAAAATACGTGCTACAGTTCGAGGACACGAATGCGCATCAAGAAACGTGCACAAAAACACTCGCTACAAAATATACGCACGTAAGTAAAAGTACAAAAGCATGCACAAAAGTACTCACGCAAAAGTGCATTCGCAAAAAAGATCACGAAAGCACAAACTACAATCCTAGGACATTAATACACATCAACAAACATGCACAAACACACTCGCTCAAATGGACTTGCGAAAACGTACATGTAAAAAATATGTGCAAAAGTACATTGGCAACAGCGTTCTTAAAAACACGAAATACAACACTAGGACTTAATATGCATAACCAAACAATAGCAAAAACACTAAAAACAAAAGATACAGTGGAGTGTAGAAATAACACTCAACGTTTACGTTTACGTGGATTTTTTATGGTTTAATTTATATTTTTGTTTTAATTGGTGGATTTAGTATCTTATAGGTACAAATTGATAATTACGTGTCCATGAAGCAAAAATGATGAAAGAGTAAGAAAAGAGTTGCAATTAGGAAAATAAAATTCAAATTAGAAGAGAGGATCCCTCAACATCTTCGGTAGTGTACACGAAGTCGAGCATAACTTTCTCATCCGGACTCCAAATCAACTGGTTCCGGCAGCATTAGAAATCTATTTTAGCTGGCTACAATTCCTGTCTAATGTCAAATTTCCGAATTCGGACTCCAAGATGGTCAAAATTGGATTCCAAAAGCAATCATGAAAATACGTGCTACAGTTCGAGGACACGAATGCGCATCAAGAAACGTGCACAAAAACACTCGCTACAAAATATACGCACATAAGTAAAAGTATAAAAGCATGCACAAAAGTACTCACGGAAAAGTGCATTCGCAAAAAGGATCACGAAAGCACAAACTACAATCCTAGGACATTAATACAAATCAACAAACATGCACAAACACACTCGCTCAAATGGACTTGCAAAAACGTACATGTAAAAAAATATGCGCAAAAGTAGATTCGCAACAACGTTCTTAAAAACACGAAATACAACACTAGGACTAAATATGCATAACCAAACAATAGCAAAAACAATAAATACAAAAGATACAGTGCAGTGTAGAAATAACACTCAACGTTTACGTTTACGTGGATTTTTTTATGGATTAATTTATATTTCTGTTTTAATTGGTGGATTTAGTATCTTATAGGTACAAATTGATAATTACGTGTGCATGAAGCAAAAATGATCAAAGAGTAAGAAAAGAGTTGCAATTAGGAAAATAAAATTCAAATTAGAAGAGAGGATCCCTCAACATCTTCGGTAGTGTCCACGAAGTCGAGCATAACTTTCTCATCTGGACTCCAAATCAAATGGTTCCGGCGGCATTAGAAATCTATTTTAGCTGGCTACAATTCCTGTCTAATGTCAAATTTCCGAATTTGGACTCGAAGATGGTCAAAATTGGATTCCAAAAGCAATCATGAAAATACGTGCTACAGTTCGAGGACACGAATGCGCATCAAGAAACGTGCACAAAAACACTCGCTACAAAATATACGCACATAAGTAAAAGTATAAAAGCATGCTTAAAAGTACTCACGGAAAAGTGCATTCGCAAAAAGGATCACGAAAGCACAAACTACAATCCTAGGACATTAATACAAATCAACAAACATGCACAAACACACTCGCTCAAATGGACTTGCAAAAACGTACATGTAAAAAAATATGCGCAAAAGTACATTCGCAACAACGTTCTTAAAAACACGAAATACAACACTAGGACTTTAATACGCATAACCAAATAATAGCAAAAACAATAAATACAAAAGATACAGTGGAGTGTAGAAATAACACTCAACGTTTACGTTTACGTGGATTTTTTTATGGATTAATTTCTATTTCTGTTTTAATTGGTGGATTTAGTATCTTATAGGTACAAATTGATAATTACGTGTCCTTGAAGAAAAAATGATCAAAGAGTAAGAAAAGAGTTGCAATTAGGAATATAAAATGAAATTAGAAGAGAGGATCTGTAACGCCCCACAACCTAACAGCAGAATCCAATCGGATCACCACCATTAAGTTAGGGATGCTACCCTTTTTATATACACTTAAACATTATGGTTTTGAATACAAAAATACATAATATGCTTTGTAAAGAAATCAAACTCTGTACATTCTCGAAATCTGTACACATATAGATATATATTGTTTACAAAATTACTTTGTACAAAAACCATAATAGAGCGGCTAACAAAATCAAATCAGAGTTTCTAGCTCGGCTACAAAAATGGCGCGAAGCATGGCATATGAACAAAACTCTGTCTGGCCGCTCTTGGCTAGGTCAACTTCTAAACATGTACATCATTACCTGCATCATAAGAACCTAATGAGCTAATGGCTCAGCAAGTTGAAACGGATGTAATAGCAATATATCACATAACACGTTATTCATTCAATATGTACAATATCACATATAACTTCATTCGTGATCCTTTTTCTTTGAAATCCTTCTTTTTATCGGGTACCCTTGAAGTGTGGTACTTGACTGATAGCAATAGGCTTTCGTTTTTGGAACCTGTTCATGATATTTGGCCAATAGATAATACAGGGTTTCCATACCGGCCTTTCGACCTCAGGTATTAGCCGTACTTTATTTCATTAATTGTGGGTTTTCCATACTGGTCTTTCGACCTCAGGTATTTGCCACCATGTGTTGGGTCCGCAGGTTCCTCCCGCGTCCCTTGCCTACTCGACCATCAATCAAGTACCATACTCCCATTTTCAAAACATCTTTCATATCATTTATTCATCAATCATTCAAACATCATGGAGAACACGTAGCAAAAGTCACATTAAAGCACACATAATTAGGTTCTTATGATGAGCAAAT